GTGTTGTTATTTTAAAACTTTTGCAAGATTGATAGCTGCAAAAAATGTCTTTTAGTTTGCATTTTACAGATGGCAGCCAAGTTGAACTTGCTTCCCCCTGTGTACTTGATCAAATGTTCTGATCCATACACAGTACCAGGTTTGTTTCTGTTCTGCCACAGTCCTCAGAGACCCAGCAGGAGGTAGAAGATGATCAAATATTAAAATAACTCCCCAAACTCCTACATCAAGCCATTTGCCAGCATGAGAGTGTCAGCACCTCCAGACAGGAATGGAGTGTTATTCATCTTTCTTATTCCCAGTTCCAGGCTCTGAGCCAAATACCTGGCAGATTCTCGATACATTCGCTTAAACCATTGCAATAGAACAGGTTCTTATTTCAGATTTCTAACTTGCTCTGTGACTTTCAACAAGTTAGGTCACCTCTCTGTGCCTCCATGTCTTCAACTATAAGTGAATGGAAACATGTTGTGACATGCTGAGTGAACTAAATGCTGAAGAAACGCTGCAGCTTCCATACAAAAGGTCTCTATGTGCGTGGGTGCATGTCACCGAGGCGGACTCCTGTCCCGCCCCACAGAAGGTGGCCAATTCCATGTGTATTAGAGACTCGGGCATACAGTTCCCTCCCACTTTTCGTGCTGATGGACTGTGGTTGGAGCCCATTTCATTTTGTTCCTCTTCCCAGAGTCTAGCAGAGTGCGTGGCCCATAGGAACTATCTATGAGGAATGAAGAAAGGAAGGAAATCATTAGTGATCAGGGTATGGGTGAATGGAAAATTAGAGCTGGATGAGATCACCCGAGAGGTCCTCTTCTTGGTTACTGTTTTATTTTTGCAAACATTATGTTAGCATCCTCGCCTTAGACGCACTTGCTAGAATAAATGTAAACAACTAGCCAGGTAAATTTGATTTGATAAAAATTGTCCATATTAAAACATTTTTATTCCTCTATGCTTTGCTTTGTTGTATTATTGGTCATGGCCTTCATGTTTATTAATAAAGAAGGATAGATTTTTCACTTTTAGAAGAAGTATGAAACCGTGATTAGATTACAAATTTATTTTTCAGATGAACTTTGTAACCATATCAAAAGAATGGAGTTATTGTTCCCACTTCCAAAGCTAATTTATTTTTTTCATTTTAATTTTTAATTTAAGTATAGTTGGTGTACAGTATTTTATTAGTTATATTAGTTTCAGGTATACAATATAGTGGTATGATATTTTTAACCTTACAATGTAGTGAGTACTTATGAAGCCAATGAAAACTGGAAAGCATAAATTGTATTCTTTGAAGACCTTTTTTCCCCTAAAAAATGAACATGGTTATTTCAATCTACTAAATATGCATGTTTTTAAAGTTTTACTACTTGGTATACAATCTACAGTATTTCTAAAATTTAAGGAAATTAAACAAATCCTTTCATAACTTTTCGTGTATCATTTACTTGTGTAATTAAAATGACAGACTTCTCATGCTTTTCTCAATTCCCAACTGATTTGCCTAGTTAGAAGAAATTAGTGCCAAAGAAATAAGGCATTTGTTATATAATTGCAGAAGTTATTACAATTTTAAAAGCCTTTAATACAGCCACTTATCTGAGGGACTTAATTCACTGATGAGACCTTAAAACATTGATAAACATGTTTTTAAATTTAAACATGTTTTTAAATGTCTTAGCATTTCTATTTTGGACTACAACTGTTAAATGCCCAAAATATACTGTGTTGCCAGATTATTATGACCACCCCATCAGTACAAAGAAGTGAATTAGTTATGCAAATAATAATAATAAAACCTTGAGAGTATTTGCTTAGGAAGTTTTCAATATTCAGCATTTTTGGAAGTGTCAATGAAGTACTATGGGGTGGTCATAATAATCTGGCCACTCAGTGTATACTCGTTTTCTCATCTTTAGTAATTCATAATTTTCCCCAATATGTAGCCCACACAGCATTTAGTATAAAATAGCTGGACATGGCACGTAATTTATTGGACCTATTATAATACTTTTGACATTTCAGGTTTTATCTCTGGCTCGGGAGGGGATGGGATGCAACTGATTGATGTTTCTCTCTCATATTGTGTTTCTCTCTTCCTCTCCCTTCCTCTCTCTAAAAAGCAATCAAAACATATCCTCTTTGAGGATTAAGAATTTAAAAAGTCAATAAGGTGGCTTCAGTCTCCTCATGCAGTATTGTAGTTTACCATCAAATAGCATTAAATTACAGTCCGACTTTTTCAAGCATGACTCAAAGAAAATCTAGTAGGCCATTGTTAGTGTCTGTAACGTTCAGATGGGAAAAAACATTCTTGAAATCCTCCTTTCAAAGTCTATTTTCAAGGTTCAGGTTTCAACTCTTTTACGACTTTTTAGAGATAAGTGACTTGTTTCTGATTAATAGGATTTTCCATGAAGCCTGGAAAGAATTTTAAAATTGTACTTTTAATTATGTGTACATAATTACCATTCATTGATGACCTAAGTTTGTCCTAAGGTAGCCACTGCTTTTAGAGATGGGAAAATGCAGTGAACTCCTTGGTCGTTTTTCATTCCTTTCTGGGGCCAGGAGCTAATAATAGTGCCCGTATCTCTTGCAACAGGCCCACAGTTGACTGTTTTACTCAGCTTCCTAATTCCAGTACTTGCCTGCAAACCCACGGTCCTTTGGAGTGTCAAGCTAAGACTTTGGTCCGAGCAGAGGGGAGGGCCCAGGAGGGGGTGTGGAAACAGCCCTAAGCGCAGGCTCCCTGGGTAATTCTCAAGGGAGGAACTTTTATCCTCACATGTGGGGTTTCTGACTTGAAATCCAGTACTTGGTCTGTATCCTGGTATTTTGCAGTGAGTGGCATAAATACCACTGTGGCACTTGAAAAGATTTTAGGTGGCACAACAAACATTTTTAATGATTATATGCTGACTTTGACATATACTATTAGTCAATATACAAGTATATACAATATACAAGTATATACAATATACAAGTATATACTATATACAAGTATATAACTTGTATACTAAACCCATGATTTCTCTAAATTTATTACCCAGAACCATCAATGAGGTATTTAAGTGAAGGAAAAGTGAATCCACTTTTAAAAAACATTAGGTTAGTAATAATACAGGTAGTCTAACCGAGCCACACTGGGGAGGGCTTCTCTTTATTCTTTTAATTACATGTTTTAGTTTCTCTATAGTCAAAATATGCCAGTAGTAAAAGATAAGACATGGTTTCCTTTCTGAATTGTAAGGAAAAAGATGCTTTATGGATTTTGTGACTTCAATGGAGTAATTGCTTCTCATCCTTCTAATTATTCTATTGGCTTTATTTTTTCTTCCTAGCACTTGCCATTATATGTCACTATCATACTTGCTATATTTATTGTCTCTTGCCTCCACTAGGCTGTAAGCTGTATGAAGTAGAACTTTGTAGTCTTCATGTAGTCTCCCAAGCACCTAGCAAAATGCCCAGCACATAGAAGGTGCGCAGTAAAACATTGTTAAATGAATGTTGATTAGTGACTAAACTTTACAATTACCAAATCCTCTCATTTTTCAAGCTCTACCCATCAATTATCAGGTCTGAAAAACACATACTTGTCAGCCATTTGACTTTTAGCCTGGTCACTTAACCACATAAGCTCTTACAGTTTATGTCTCTGTGTATAAAATGGAGATACCATCAACTCCTAGGGCATTTATGAAAGTAAATGAGGTGACATTCATGAAAGTATTGATCTCTCATTGTAAGCATCTATGTATCTATCCATGTGTCTGTCTATGTTTGAATTAAACCCTGTGGCACAGGATCTGACCCATAGTAAGTGAACCAAAACTATTTATTAGCTTATTCATTTTTTATTAATCAATTTTACTACAAAAGTGATTATTTCCTTTCTAGTCATTGGTGACCCTATCTAAAACCAAGGACAAGCAATCAATAGATGAAAGCATTGCCTTTAAATGCCTTCACTCTTACCTTTTTTATATCTACAATATGAAGAGGTTTAAAAACATGGTGTTCTCCCAGTGAAGTACATTTAGAGGCCAAAAATAGAGCAGTACATTGAGAGACCGATAAGCACTAAAGTTGTCTTTTCTGTTCCTCCTAAAAAGTCAGTTTTGTTTTTTAGATGCTTCTCATATACAGAAAACAGTGTTAGAAAAAGGAAGCATTTGAGTTTTAAAAATATGATTTCTAAGGCACTCTTTATTTTCTCTCCCTCCCTCCACCCTCCTTCCCTCCCTCCCTCTCCTCCTACCTTCCTTCTTTCCTTAACTCTCCTCCCTTTTTCTCCCCCCCCCCCATTCTATTTGCAATCACTTTTAGATTATCTTTCAAGTTCAGATTTAACAGAAATGTATTGGCCTGCCTTAGGGACCCAGCATCTTATCAGCAACCTTTTTGTATGTTCCCTCATTTTGGTTCTGCCACAATACAACAAAAGGGGGACATGATTCCTTCGTTATGCAGTAAAAGAGACTGAGGTCCTAGAGCAGTTATATGATGTGCCTGAAGCCACACAGGTGGTAAGCCAGAAAGCCAGGGTGATCACACCTGGGTTTTCCCCACTGTAAATTCAAGGCTGTTTTCATAGAGTATTAGTTCCATACTCTAGACTAAAATGGAATTTTTTATTTTGCACATTTAACAGCACCTTTCTTCATTAAGATTTCTACAAGCTGAACAAATTGATTTGCAAGTTATTTATAGAAATCATTTCACCCATCACTGAAAACGGTCTTTGCAGAGCTTTTCAAAAATGCACAAAAATATTGCGTGGCAGTTTAATGAAATAGAAAAAAAGAGAAAGAATTATTGGAAACTACCGAATGTTTATGCATAAACACAGGAAGACATACGTGGGGGCATAGAGACGACTCCCCACTGCACTGCCGGGGCTAACATTTAAGGAGCGTGGGCTTTTTTCATCATTTTCCAGGTCCTCTTGAGGCCAGGGCTCCTGACTAGAGCATTTGTCACTCAAATTACAGGGCTCCAAAACAGTCCTGGAACTGGGGTGTTCAGCAAGACAGCTGAAAGTAGCAACTGGTGGGGACCTGAGTCAGACTCAAAGAAGAGAGCAACAGTCAAAGCCAGAGAATACGGTAAGTCTTCAAGTCACGTGAAAAGGTCAAGGGAACCCCAAATAGGAAGTGAGCCAGGAGATGGAAACCTTGGAAGCTGCAAGGTAAGTTGAGAAACATGGCCTGGACCACTTTGGACCAGTTGTTTCAGAATGAAGAATGTGACCAGTGTGAGGAAGTCAGAAGCCATTGCCTGATGTGGCTACCCTAATGGATTTCAGTTCACCTTCCTCATGAATCCCTGCAGTTTCATAATGGCTTATAAAATTTAAGTAAAATCTATGTACAGATGGGCAAGTACCATCCCATTTTAGTCATCCCACTTTACTCATCCCACACTCAAAGCGGAGTGAGCTGGTTAAACCACCCAGACTACCATGAGAGAGTCAATGTGGAACCAGGGTAGAACCCAGCTCTGCAATGCTGTCATCTTGTTGTCTTCAGGGATGGATTTTTTCCAGGTTTCTTATTACATGCTCCCCTAACCATTTGGCTTTCCTAATGGGAGGACCCATGTTCAACAAGTCTGTAAGGATCGCAGCACCCTGGATCCCAAATGTTTATGGTCGCCTCCACCTGTCAGATAGACCCAGGTTTTCACCTTCCTTGGTTTTTTAGTGCTGATGTGCTCAGTAACAGTATGGGTTTGCAAAGTGCTGCTCCCCCCAGCTACCTGTATTCACTGCATGAGGAAATGTGGGCTGTCTCTCCCTGATCATTCACAGAAACTGGTTTTGATCATCTTGGCCAAAAGACATCATCAGGACTTCCCGAATGGAGGTTTGCTCTAAGGATGTCACCCTGGTTCCAGAGGGAGACCCCACTGGGGAGGGGTTCCTCTTCCCTTTGGTGCAGCATCCTAACTTCTATGGGGCAGATCTCAGTTTCTTTTAGTGCAGCGGTTCTCAACCTGTGGGTCGCGACCCCTTTGGGGGTCGAACGACCTTTTCACAGGGGTCGCCTAAATACATCCTGCATATCAGATATTTACATTACGATTCATAACAGTAGCAAAATTACAGTCATGAAGTAGAAATGAAAATAATTTTATGGTTGGGGGTCACAACATGAGGAACTGTATTTAAAGGGCCAGAAGGTTGAGAACCACTGTTTTAGTGCAAACCACCCAGTTGATTCAGTCTTTCTCCTCGGCTTTGGAAACTTGAGTAAATGACACAGAAACTGAAGGAAAAATCCTTGAATCTGATTTGGCCCCATAGGGTGACTGCACATCAGTTTCTGCTTCCCAGAATCCCAAAAGAACCAATGCCGATTGTTTCTAGACATTATTCTTGATTTTCTCTTAACCCAGTGAGTTCCCCCATTTCTTTCCAATGAATTTCCATCTTCACATTAGCCAGAAAGTTTCTTTTCTCTGTAACCAGAGAATTCTAAGGGCTACCCTCCAAGGGGAGATGGTGAGTAGTCAGACACAGGAAGGAACCGCCAAGAAGCAGGAGAAAACACGTAGGTGTGAGCAGCCCATATTGCCCTGGGGTCTTGGGCATCAGATCATAAACAGCTTTCTTAAGTATGCTCCCCCCACATGTTCCTAAATGCCCCCATTTAACCTCAGGAAAGCCTCCCTGTCTGTATAAATTCCAGTTCTGCTTGCTCTCAGCTGCATTTCCATCACCCTGTGCCGTGGTCCTTGCTACTCAGAGGCTCTAACTGGAAGCCTCCAATTAGTAAAAGTGGGAAAATGAACTAAGAATTGTTTAATTAATGAACTCTGGTTGGCCACATCTTTCATGAAAAAATAAAAAGCATTTCTTGCAGATTTAGCAAAATATTTAGAGCACAATTTCCAGGCAGGATACCGGCTGCTGAATGTGTAATGCAGGTCACTTGATCAGAATGGCTTCATGTGACCAGACCAAGTGGCCATCACCTTCTCTGGACCCTTCCATTTCCAAAAGAACAGTGAGCTCAGCTCCTCTGTGCCCTTCCAAATACAGCTCAGCATTCATGCCATCTCCCTGGAACCGTCTCAATTTCAGGAGCCGAGGCAGTCACTCCTCGCCCTTTGCTCCAGTTGCACTCTATGCATGGACACCTGTGTTCCTCACTCTCCAGTTTTGTAATGGCTCATGTCCATCCATCTTCCCCACTAGCCTGTAAGCTCTTCTCTCAGTGTTTTCACCGCAGTGCTTCCTATGGTGTCTGGCATACAGTAGACATTCAGTAGTTACTGTATTCTTTAAAGTGCTTTGCTCCCCTCCCGGTGGCAAATGCCCTGCACTAGAATTTCATATCAGCCTCGCACTAAAAAAGAGGGTTGTGAAGCTGCCTGTCCATTGTGGGCTCCTTGCTTTACTGCAACCTTAGCTCATCTGCATTTTTTTTTAGAAACAGCTGTTTTCGGTTTGGTTCGGTTTTGTTTTTTAATCCATCTCACTCCAAGACAGTACAGCCAATCAATACAGATATAAAGTAGAAAGAATGGAAAATGGATGTAAGCCATTACTTTTTCTGTGGTTTCCCTTTTGGCCCTGTTTTCAGAAACCTTTCATATCTTCCACCACCTGCTTAGAATAAGTACAAATTCGTATAAACAGTTACATATTTTAAGGTCAACTAAATGAGTCTCTTTGATCCCAATTAACGATGCCAGGCTCATTCTTAAGGTGCATTTGTGTTTGCTTCTGCTGTGTGTGTCCTGCTCCCTGCGCTGCTGACGTGTCACACCAGATAATGTACCGGTGTGACATGGAAATGGGCCTTTCCTTCAGAGTATTCTGCATCCTCTGTCCACAGGGGAAGCTGTTCCACTTGTGGGGTGTGATATTAAAGTGTGTTTCCCTTTGGCATTTTAGTTAAAACTTATAGGAAGGATAACAGCTATAAAGAGAGGTTTGCTATTTGAGGAAACTGGTGTCTTTCTTCCTTCTAGTATTCATTCACAATTTAATTCATTCTGGCCCATTGGGGTTTACAGAATGGCCCAGGTGTTTGCACAGGGCTACCTAAATTTTGTGTGCAACTGTCTGCTACCAGTACGGAGAAGAACGCTGAGTGACACTTCACGAGTGCTGCTTTAGACGCTGAGAAGCTTACTCCGGGCCCAGCAAACATTTCGGGATAAATATTTATCACTGCAAGTCAGCATTGTTAAAGTTAGAATCTCACCTCACATAAAGCACATCCATGATGCAGGATAATGAGCTTTAGAGGCCCCTGTCTAAGGTCCCAGTTCCAATTAGTGTGTGCCAGAGAGAACTGCGTGAGAAATGTCAACAGCACAATAAAGCTGGCGGATTGGGCAGGAGAAATGATGATAAATCACCCTAGCAGAACCCATCAATCAGGGCCTGTTTCTGTTGCATGAAGGAGTTGTTTTGGCAAACTAGTATTTGTCATTCCCTCGGAAATATTCTGCAAGCATAATGTACTATTTCACAGTAGAAGGTTGACTGAATGAGTCTCTGGAGAATACAGCTAAATGATCTCCCCACTCAATAATCTGTAGATCATCAATATGTGTTTGTGATGTTTGTGCTAACTGAGAACAAAGATACTAGCCAAACATCCTATTGTTATATCAGGGGGCTCAATTATTGCCCACCCCCTTTTTTTAATGGTTGTGCTACATAGAGAGTGTCTTGTCTCCAAAACTTTTATTAGCTAAGCAGTATGAACCAGGGACAAAGGAAAATGGAGATACCAAAATCCCAGTGAGACCCAGTTTCTCCTTTGGACCATGGATGGTTTTCTGCATTGTATCCCAGACTCTACCTGGGTCAAACAATAATAATTCCTGCCTTCTTGGAGATTACCTTCTAGAGGATTAGTTCAGAAAGTAAACAATATAAAATGAGTAAATTAGATAGTATGCTAGCAGGTGAGGGGGCTATAGATGCACAGTATCTCAGCACAGAGCAGGTACTGAGATCCATTTTCTATCTGGGGTAAAAAGCATTCTAGAGAGGAAGATCAAGGTCAAGACCCTGAAGTGTAGCGGGAGAAACATGAGCAAGAACAGATGAGATCAGAGAGGAAAGGTGGGGGTGGATGGCCCTTATAGATCTGAAGGGTCTCACATTTGCAGGACCCTGTGGTAATAAGAATGACACCATTTATTATGACACTAGAGGCCTGGTGTACGAAATTCATGCTCGGGGATGTGTGTGTGTGTGTGTGTCCCTCAGCCAAGCCTGCACCCTCTTCAATCTGGGACCCCTCGAGGGATGTCCAACTGCAGTCGGACATTCCTCTCACAATCCAGGACTGCTGCCTCCCAAACGCTTGCCTGATTGCCCCTAACCGCTTCTGCCTGCCAGCCTGATCACCCCCTAACCACTCCCCTGCCAGCCTGATCGACACCTAACTGCTCCCCTGCCTGCCTGATTGCCCCTAACTGCCCTCCCCTGCCAGCCTGGTCACCTCTAACTGCCCGCCCCTGCAGGCCTGGTCACCTCTAACTGCCCTCCCTTGCCAACCTGGTTGCCCCTAACTGTCCTCCCCCGCAGGCTTGTTCCTCTCCAAATGCCCTCCCCTGCAGACCTGGTCCCCCAACTGCCCTTCCCTGCAGGTCTGGTCCCCCCCAACTGCCTCCCCTGCAGGCCTAATTGCCCCCAACTGCCTTCCCCTGTGGGCCATCTTGTGGCAGCCATCTTGTGGCCACATAGGGGCAGCCATCTTGTGTGTTGGAGTGATGGTCTTGTGTGTTGGAGTGATGGATCTCAGTACCTGCTCTCTGCTACTGTGCATCTATAGCCCCCTCACCTGCTAGCATACTATCTAATTTACTCATTTTATATTGTTTACTTTCTGAACTAATCCAGTCATACTTGGTGTGACTAATTAGCATATCATGGCTAATTAGCATATACCTCTCTTATTTGTGTTGGAGTGATGATCAATTTGCATACTGGTCATGACTAATTAGCATATCTGGTCATGGCTAATTAGCATATCTGGTTGTGACTAATTAGCATGTCTGGGCTAATTAGCATACCCTTCTCTTATTATATAGGATGCCATGTCCCCAATGGGCTAGGTACCTTGCAAACATATCTCAG